GGAGGCAGCAGATGGCTGCCGGCAGATGGGGGGGATGTTCCTTCTTCCCTCAGCAGGGTCGGCAGTGAGTGTGGCACCAGGGTGGCCCGAAACAGGAGGGTGTTACAAGTGGGTTGGGAAGAGTGAGGGTGCTGACTGGGTGCTGATGAGTTTTTTGTGAGGATCAAGTGAGTGTCAGGGAAGGCCAGTGAGAGAAGGGCAGTGAGGAGAGGAGAAGCTCTGCTGCCAGGCATCTGTGAGGGAATTTCAGGGAGATGGGCTGGGACTGTAGTTTGGAAACAAGGGAACAGGCCTGGAGGGGAGAATAGTATTTATGAATTAATGAGGATTGCTGAATGTGCATTAGATTACCTAAAGGTAAGGCTTAGGGGCAGAGCAGTAGGGTGCGTACATAAGAGTCTTACATTAACGCTACTAGCCAATTGCGAAATGATTGTATTGCACTGTAATAGTGTTTTTATAAAGAAATTTCAGACTCTATGTGTGGATACTATAAGCAATAGGAAACTGACTGTCAGTCAGAAGAGGTGGCTCTGGCTTACGTACTGTGCCAAGGCAGACATGTCCAATGACGCCATGCAAAGGTGGGCGTATGAGAGCCAGGTCCCCTTTCCTGCTCTCTGGTGCCTTTCCTTGTTGCTTTTGCAGGTGGTGCTCATGTAAGTGCTGTTAGTTGTAGCCAGCTTCAAAATCAGGCTCATATGACTGCTGTTACAGTATTCATTTTTGCTGATCTAGGTTGAAGTCCTGTAGTATCATAAAGAATCGGTGTCAATCAGTGCCATGTGGATAATGACCAGCAGCCTCATTCAGCAACCTAAGCATACTGACTGTTGGAAATACAGTAGGAACTATTATCAGCAATGCGCTGAATCTGAGCTTTTGGTTGGAAAGCGGTAATTGTTGCCATCCATGTAGACACCCATGATGCTCTATTCTGGCAGTAAAACGAAACGTGTTAAACTGCTGTAGATCTCATGGTGCTTTCTGTTCAAAGCAACTCAGTTGCTTCAACAGGTGATAAATCACTTTGGAAACTTAGTGCAACATTTTCTGCACTTCTCTTTCCATAGCATATCAACTTCTTAAACCTTTCCTGCAAATCAATATTAACAGCTACGTAAGTTGCATGCATGTTGGGAAGGCATTACCCACTGATGGATTTGTATTTGTTTTTGCCCCAGGGAATGCTTATAAAGTCTTTAAAAATGACAAAGTATTTCTTCTTCCAATTGAAATTGCTCTATATCAGTAAATTATGTAATTTTTTTTTGATTGATGTAGAGTTTGACACAGCAATGTGTTTTATACATGACATGAGGTTTTCTATGAAGTTCACTTTCTTATAAGAAGTGTTTGGTGGAGACCCATTATTGGCCTAAAATACATTGTAATCTTTGCAAAGTGTTAGAGATTCTTGGAGTAGCTTATGTTGCTCCAAACTGTAGAGTCATGCAGTCTCTGGATTTAAGGACAGATCCTGCTCCCATATATGTCACTGGAAACCTTGTCCCCTTATTCTTTAACTTCATCCTTGGAGAAATGATGTTGACCCTGGCTGGTACAGTGGAGGGATATGAAATATGTTTGCTTAGTATATGTGTTTGATTGTATCTGTTCATTGTCCTCTTCAGAGGGATCCTGCTGTCACCAAACTGGTTATGGGATCAGAGTTACAGCAGGTGACTTCAGCAGGCAGGACTACAGTGATGGTTCAGGCTGAATGAACTGAGTTAGTGAGAATGATGAACAGGTATTGTAGAAGTAGAATCAAGTCTTCCTTTTTCCAAAACATTCCCATTATGATTGTTCTTGTTGCTTAGAAATTAGCAAAGATGCAATTAAGAATTAGGGATGTTTTTCTTAAGAATATGTAAAGCAGGTAACTCGTCAGGTATCTGTGGAGGTGTGTTGCTTTGGGGGCACCTGTGGGGGTTTTGTCTCCATTTCATGTTGAAGTTTGTGACAGAGCTTACCTGACAGCCTTAACTTGCACTTATCTCTCCTGTAGAGGTCTCAGCCTATAAGTTATTTTGGCAGCACTGTCTCGTATGTTTGATGTGCTCCTTTTTGTAGGAGAACCAGAAGAAATAAGACTCCTTGCCCCTGAGTTGGTTTTCAATAAGAGGAGGAAATTAGGCACTAAATTTATTGTCAACAGCCACCCAAAAGCTTCTTGTACTTACTGCTATCATGTGACATTTCAGCTTGTTTCTGGTGGCCTTCAGCCCTCCTGTTTACCTAGGGATTGGACTGCAGCTTTGTTAACATTGATGGACCAGCTCTATGCATGTACTCAGCTTTGACACATGTAATGTAAAGGTCAGCCTTCTAGAGAATGAAGAGAGACTTATAATTGCAAAAAATGCTGGACACCAAAGTGCCAACTGTTATATACAAAAGTACCAGCATTTTTGGAGGACACAAGTCAGTCTCTGCTTCATGAAGCTTGAGCCCTAGGTGGCAGTATGCTGCCAGTTCATACATCTAGGAGCCCTGCTGTTGAGGAATTGGTGAGTTTTGTCATGGTCTGAGCTTCTGAGTGCTGGTGCAGATGGGTGGTGATAGGCCTCGACGATAGAGGTGGCTGAAGTTTTGCAGCTTGTTTGGTTGGGTGCTGCCTTCTGAATGCCTGCAAATCCCCAAAGTCATTGAAAAATGCTGGTATTTAGCACCTTGTGGTGAGTTGACCCTGACTGGATCCACCAAAGCCGCTCTATCACTCCCCTCCTCAGCTGGACAGGGGAGAGAAAATATAATGAAAGGCTCATAGGTCAAGATAAGGACAAGGAAAGATCACTCAGCAATTACTGTCATGGGCAAAATAGACTTGACTTGGGGGAAGTTAGTTTAATTTATTACCAATCAAAATCAGAGCAGGATAATAAGAACTAAAATGAAATCTTAAAACATCTTCTCCCCACCCCTTGCTTCTTCCCAGGCTCAACTTGACTCTCGAATTCTCTACCTCCTGTTTGGCCTTTGTAAGGAAGGGGGATCTTGTATAGCCTTGCTTGGGTTTAATTGGGAGAGGAGAAGATTTCCAGATTTGTCTGCCATTATCAGTATTGGTTTGAAATTACTCACTGTCTCATTGCCATTGCAAGGTAATGAATACTATTGTAGCTCACCAAAGAAAAGTTAATCCAGGCAAAATATTTTTGCAAGGAGAGAATAAAGAACTGATGCTGAGACATCTGCTTTGGGAGAGGAACTGCTGTTACTCCCATCCATGAACCAAGTGGAATATACTTTGTCAAGGCAGTAACTCAATTAGCAGCCTGAGGGTATTTTACTAAAAGGAAAAATCAAGAAAAGCATTTCTTCCTAAGTATCCTGAGAACCTATTTCTTTAATTCCTTCAGTGCAGTATGTTCTGCAGTCTGATAGTCTCAGAGTCTGAGGAATGCTTGTGTTCTGTATTTTAGGTCTCCAGCGCCGTAGACTTATTCCTGCTCCATTGCCAGATGCTGCCTCCCTCGGAAGAAAACCCAGCGTCACTGGCCAGTGGGTTGATCTACCACCTTTGCCAGGCACTTTAAAAGAGCCATTTGAAATTAAAGTTTATGAGATAGATGATGTGGAACGATTACAGCGACACAGACAAGAAGAAACTGAGGTCAGCACATATTTTACAACAACTGTAGACAACTTAAATTACAGTATACAGGCAGAATCCTTGCTTGAATGCTGGAATGATGTTCAGGAAATTGATTGCAATTAAAGCACTATAATTATTAATTCTACAATTCATATGTTGGGGTACCCTTAACACAGAAAATGAAAATTATTACTGTCTAAAATTAATTGTGTCTAACATGACTGATGGTGTAAATGGAAGTTACCAATGAATACATTATGAGAAGACTTTATATTCTTAGCCTGGCTGATGAAACCTTGCAGCCTCCCTCAACTATAGGGTCATTAACTCCTTATGTAAATGGCAGGATTCTATTAAATCAGGGATGCACTGAGTTTAATTTACTTGTAATTGGAAAACACTTCAGCTAATTCTGTTTTGGAGACCAGAATTCTATATTCTGCTGATGCCTTTTTCCTATTTCTTTCATAATAGCCTTTCCAGGATGTTGAGAAGGTAGGAATTCTTTTAAGAAAATAAGAATTCATATGTCTTAGGATTAAATACCACTCTCACATTATTAATAGGCTGTGTGTATCATTTGCACTGATGGAAAAGAAATTCCTCTACAAACAGTAGTAATTTCAGAATGTATTCAGAGAAGTGCAACAAATGCTCAAGTGATGTAACATGCTGTTCCTCTAGGTTAGAATCCATTAATGTAAACTTCAAGTTAAAAAAAAACCACAAAAATTGACACCACCACCACCACCCGCCCCAACCAAACAAAACAACCCACCTGCTAAGTCTGACAAGTAATGAGCCAGGAGCAGTTTGTGTCAAACTGTTGGACGTCAGTTCATAACTGGCAAATCATGAACTGGTCTTTCTGTGTCTTAAAAGGGTCTGATGTATTTCCATACCAAGCTGAAGATACTAGAAAGGCGCCAGCAGCGAATCAGAGAAGTAAAGGCGAAGCATGATTTTTTGAAGGAAGAGTTGGAAGAGACAAAGTGCAGGTTGATGATGGATCCAAATAAGTGGAAAGATGACTGTAAGTACTTTGCAAAAACTAGCAGTATGATCAGCATGTAACAAATTTTCAGCATGTGAGCAGTACCACTGAAAAAGTTAAGCAGTTGCCACGATATTTTGCTGAATTGAGCCCTAAAACACTCTGTGACTCCATTCGTATTTCTGTGATATGGGATTTGTTCAGTGCTGCATAGTACCAGAAATGAACAAAAAACCCCTTCCAAACCAACCAGAGGAGAATGTCAAAACAATGCAGAGACTCCCTGTGATGCTTGTTAATATTCAATTTTTATATAATCTTTTATTATCCTTCTTTCCAAAGAAAGAAAAAAATGTTTCGATGTTATAGCTGGGAAACTGAGGCATGAGATTTGTTCACAGACGGAGTGCTGTGCTTAGCTGGAGCCTCAAAGTAGAGGTTTGCATCTGCTGAGCGAAATGAAAAAAATTTCTTAGTTCAAGAGAAATAAAATTGTACTCTACATTATTGGCTCCCCTTTGATAGAATAATGTTTTGCTATGAGCTGTTTCTCTTACTCCCTAATTTTTTATCTGACAGTTGAAGTGGATTCTGATCTCGATAAGGAGTCACAGGAGTACCTGGAGGCACTGGAACAAGTGACAGAGGAACTGGAGCAGTGTGTTAATCTGTGCAAGTCACATATCATGATAGTGACGTGTTTTGATATTGGAATAACAGATGCACAAGATGGAGTAAGGGAAGTGGAGGTTTGAAGAGAGGTTTTTCAAGTGACTGAAGGAAGTGAAGCTGGATCGTCCGACATGAAGAAGTAAAGAGATTAAGTAGCTGGGAAGTGAAGGAGGAAAGGTGAAGCCTAAAAAGCAACAATGAATGTTGTAAGAGAAAGAAACAGCTGAGGGATGGGAATGTTCATAAATCATTTGGTGCCTCAACGTGACCTGAACTGTACAAAGATAAAAGTAGGATCAAGTATTGCTTCTGCCAGAGGGAAGCGAAGTGTAGTACAAACCAAGATGTTAATTAACAAACAAACAAACATACAATGGAAGTGCCTTTAAAGTTAATTTGATTTTCATTTTTGTATTTGGTGCTAGAATTAAAGCCAGCAAACCTAAGGAGACCACAAAATGTATTCCTACGAAATATTTTATACTGTATAGTGTATTTATGACTATATGTAAAAAACAAACAACATTGTAGCAAAAGCAATAAGTAAATTATGTTTTCATACCTGAACTTGCCTTCTTGTTTCATAGAAAAGCTGTTTTATGTAGCAGAATTAAAATTGTATTATAATTGTTTTCTTGGTTAGGGTTCAAGATATTTTTATGAACATTTATCTATTGAAAAGGTGTATTATGGCATTTTGAGACGATTGTTTTACCTTCAGGTTTTGTATTATTACTTTTTCAGATCAAAATAAATGTTTGTTTTCCATTTTATATATACATATATAGATATATATTAACTGCTTACCTACTTCTTTGGTTACTAACCTCACTTATCACAGACCTGGTCTTTTTGGAGTCATAAAATTAATGTAAGGAAGTCTACAAAGGGCACTGTGGTTTGTTTTGGTTTTCTTTTTTCCTCTCTGACTGCAGGAATTGAGAATTATGTTTATTACCAAAACCATAAAACAAACAAAAAAAAAGGAACAAAAATTTTTTGTAAATGTTAAGTTAGGTCCATATTTTTATATAGTTTTGACTATAAATATAGCATTTGCATTTTGAACTTTTAAGACAAATAGTATATCTTTTTACAGTTTTTCTAAGGAAGGCAAACCCTCAGGATCAAGTTTATACATGCTGCATGAGATTTGTGCTTTTTTGAAGGAGGCCACTTAAGTGTGGAAACTATTGATAAATTGTTGCCAAACAAATACTTTTGAAAAGGTTTAATAGTGTATGTAATACCACATTTCATAATGAATCATATTTTCTAATCATCTTCCTTTTTATGGTTTTTTCAAGTCCTTTGTACAAATATGTATTATAACAGCTTGCTTCAGTTTTTATCTGTGAATAAAAGATACATCTATTGTTACGATTGCTTCTTGTTATGTATGTGATTTTAATGTTCAGAAGAGAGAGGATGGCCTGTGGTACACTGTATTAAGTGTCATAAATATTATCTCTTTGCTCAAGAGAGGTAGCTGGGAACAGTGCTTTGACATTAGTCATTGTAAACCAGTCTGGAAAGACAGACAAAACACCAAAGGGTAAAATAAATAGTAATGATTATACTTGTTTTTCACAGAATCATTAAGGTTGGAAAAGACTCGTAAGATCAAGTCCAACCGTCAACCCAACACCACCATGCCCACTAAGCCATGTCCCAAAGCGCCACATCCACACGTTTTTTGAACACTTCCAGTGATGGGGACTCCACCACCTCCCTGGGCAGCCTGTTCCGATGTTTGACCACCACCCCAGTGAAGAATTTTTTCCTAATACCTAACCTAAACCTCTCCTGGCGCAACTTGAGGCCATTTCCTCTCGTTCTATCGCTCGTTACTTGGGAGAAGAGACCAACACCCACCTCACCACAACCCCCTTTCAGGTAGCTGTACAGAGCGATAAGGTCTCCCCTCAGCCCCCTCTTCTCTAGACTGAACCTCCCCAGTTCCCTCAGCTGCTCCCCATCAGACTTGTGCTCCAGACCCCTCACCAGCTTCCTTGCCCTTCTCTGGACACGCTCCAGCACCTCAACATCCTTCTTGTAGTGAGGGGGGACTACTTTTAGCACTTCATAGTTTACAGATGAAAACCTGCAGCTCACATGCTTGTTTTCCCTGATGAGACAAAGCAATTAAAAATGGGTCTAAAAACATGAAGAAATCTTTAGGGACTGGAATCAAGCCCTGGGCCCCATAGGTCCATCATAGCAAACAACTACATCAATTTCTCTCTGACACTGCTGCTCTCTGGTTAGACCTGGTCCTTGCCTCCTACTGATGCTGGCTGGAGAGAGATTTAATGTAAAGCTAGTGCTTCTAACATCACTATCTCAAGTACTTTCCAGCTATTTGGCCAAATGACTTGTAATGTGTGATTTTTTCCCCTCTCTATCTCTCCTTATGTAGCCCTAACAGTATGGCATCCAAGCAGCAAGTTCTCTTACCCTCACAAGGGGGCTGTGAGGGGGAGGAAATGCTTTCCGCCTCATTCTGCAGCTGGAGAAGTGGGAGAGTGAGAGCAAGAGTTTGGTGCTTAAATATCTTTGTGACATTGCATAGGTTACACAGGATGCCCTGCTCTTACTTACCGCTCTGTGATTTATCCCTGGAAAAGCAAGCACTGTGTTTGCTTACTGATGTTTGTCACTGTGTTGGGTTGTATGCAGGGGGATGTGGCATCTTGAATTTCTGGAGGACCCCCTTGCTAATATCCTTGAATACCAGATATACTTACTAAGTTGTAGATTTCTGCTATATTTACTTTCTCTGGGTGTGCTCAGTTCTTCCAAAGATGGAAACAAAACCATGGAGTGATTCGATACGTTGTGTTTTTTTCTTCAGAGCAGGGATCAGATGAATAAATATAGTCAAAATAAAAAAGGCAGTAGCATGTGGAGGGACGCGTATTTCTTAGCAAAGGGGAAAACCTCCAAATGAGAGGGCTGAAGAGCCCTCTAGAGCTCAGAACCCAGCTAGAGCTCAGTCTGGCCACAGTT